GAGGTTGTGATAGTGATGGTGGTGGTAGTGATGGCGATGGTGGTGATAATGGTGATGGTGGTAGTGATGGTGATGGTGGCAGTGATGGGGTAGCGATGGTGATGGTGGTGATAATGGTGATGGTGGTAGTGATGGTGATGATGGTGATGGTGATATGGAGATGGTTGGTGATGGTGATGATGGTGCTGATGGTAATGGTGATGGTGATATGGAGATGGTGGTGGTGGTGATGATGGTGATGGTGATATGGACATGGTGGTGGTGGTGATGGTGATATGGAGATGGTGGTGGTGATGGTGATATGGAGATGGTGGTGGTGGTGATGATGGTGATGGTGATATGGAGATGGTGGTGGTGGTGATGATGGTGATAGTGATATGGAGATGGTGGTGGTGGTGATGGTGATGATGGTGGTAGTGGTGATGATGGTGGTAGTGGTAGAGGAGGTGGGATGGTGATCATGATGATGAGGACAGTAGTGGTGATTGTGGAGGTTGTGATAGTGATGGTGGTGGTAGTGATGGTGATGGTGGTGATAATGGTGATGGTGGTAGTGATGGTGATGGTGGCAGTGATAGGGTTATTGATGGGGAGGTGGGATGGTGATGGTGATGGCAATGGTGGTAGTGATGATGATGGTGATGGTGATGGTGGCAGTGATGGTGGTGGTACTGGTGGAGGAGGTGGGATGCTGAAAATGATGAGGATGGTAGTGGTGATGGTAGAGACTGTGATGGAGATGGTGGTGATGGTGTTGATGATGACAGAAGTGTTGATGGTGGTGATGGCAGCTGACTCACAGAGCCTTATTGGGGCTTGTGCTGTACTAAGCATCTCATGTTTATTAACTTATTTCATCTCCAGTACAAGCCTACATGATAGGCATCTTAGTATTCCTGCTTACAGATGAGGACACAGGCACAGGGGAGGTGGCAGTCTCCCCAAGGTCTTGGCAGGACTCCAGCAGTCTGGCCTCAGAGTTTATGTGCCTGCCCAGCTCTCTGCAGCCCCTCCAGTGGAGTCCTGCCAGGTTCTGTCCTAGCCAATCCTTTGAGATACTGCCTCAGCGGGTGTGGCCCTAGATCCTCCTGATAACCGGCGGGGCAGGGACCGAGCTCCGGACCAGGCCCTGAAGGGTGGCCAGACAGGACAAAGTCAGCCTTGGAGAACCACACTGCCCTCCAAGGGCTTCCAGGCTGGAGCAGAACACAAACACTGCCCAAAGGATCTGCGGCCTGCTGGAAGGTCACGGGTTTCTGGGCTCAGCATTTGCAAAGATTGCCTTGAGCCCCTGCCTCAGAGGACATGACAATGGACAAGGAGTGTGTGTCCCTGCCAGACACCTTGGAGGGGGCTGCTGTGTTCCTGCACCTCACTCTGTCCAGGCTTCTAGAATGAGAGGATCGCCTGCTGGAATCAGAGCAGGCCTCATTATTAAAGGCATCCTATCTCCTGCCTTCCACAGCTGCTGTGGGCATGAGGCTTGCCATAAAGTGGCCTGGGTCCCAGCCTCAAGGCCCATCCCCACCTCTGGCTCTGGGCAGCAGCTCTGGAGAGCTCTGTGCTCTCTGACTCATGGCTGTGGCCCTCGAGGCCTCCACCTTGACCACCTTTGATCCACCTCAGAAGCACCTCACCGTGCTGCATGAGACCCACATGCCAGGCCCCGGTGAACTCCAGTAAGATCAAGCAAGCCCAGGTGTGTTGGGGGTTGGGGGGACACCAGCTGGCTGCCAGGCAGTTCTGGAGCAGGCTGGACACAGGCCAGGCTGTGGCTGCACCTCAGTCATGGGGAGGCCCCTGTAAGCCTCATCTCGTGGAAGAGACCCATGGAGGCTAAGCACCTGCTCAGCCCTGTCCTTCCCAAGTCTCAGTGACTACATAGCCCAGGTAAGTGCTCGGCAGGTGCAGGCAGTCAGGGGGGCCGGCTGAGCTTGGAGCTGGGGGAGTGACCTGAAAGACGAGGGGCGGGCTTGAAGCTGGTGACGGCCCAGCCAGTCTGCTAGGGACAGCAAATCCAAGAGCTCCTCCAAGGACTGCAGGGGAGGCAGACCCTGAGGGGAGGTGGCTACAGGGTCCCCACTTCCCCCTGCTGTCTCAGGGGACATGGAGGCCGAGCCGTTCGTCCCTCCCTCAACGGTACCCCTTCAGGCCACCCATCCTCCCTACTCCCGGTCACCCACCCCCAGCCCCAGTGGAAGCTTAGGACAGTCTCCTGTCCCCTTAGCCTGCCCCATCCGACTGGCTGGGCCGCCCGAGCTGGGCGTGTCCTAGACTTTGCTGCGGCTGTGCCTGCAGCAGGGGGACGAAGGCTTTAGGGCCTTTTTTTGGGACCAAGTCTCCTGAAGACAAAGTGTGAAGACCTCAGGGGTGTCTCTCTTTCCACTCTTGGCCCTTTTGCCCCAGCTAGGGACGCACTCCTGAAGCTCCTCTCCAGCCCAGCCAGGCAGCTCGATGTCCTCTCACTGTGGGCAGCGCCAGCCCCACTAGCCAGGGTCCTTTCCAGGACTGGGCAGAACTCACTGACCAGCACAAGCAGGTGGCCCCTGGGGAGATGCTCAGAGCAGGAAGCCTGGGGCAGCCCCCCAACCCCAAATACAGAGTCAGACAGGAGGGGATGCCTGGCCAGTGAGGCCCCCAAGGACATCTGCATTTTAATCAGGGACTCTGGAAACTCACCTGGTCTTCTTAAACAAGAAGGTTGGAGCAGGCAGGAAGCCTGTGGGGAGCAAGTTGGGGGCAGGGCTGTGAGGTGGGCCCTGAACAGCCACCATTTAAGTTGCCAAAAATGGTCTCCCTGTCTGCAGATGCTCTTTTTTATACCTTACCTAGTGGAGAGCAGGTTTTAAAAACAGCTTCCAAGTTCACTTAAAAATACACAGCACATAGCACTGGCCAGAGGGGCAGAGGCAGAGGGAAGGCGGGCAGGAGGTGCCAGGGACCAGCCATGCCCCTCACTGCCCTCTCCCCTCTCGTGCCAGACCTGCCAGCTGTGGGGTGCATCCATTCGGCCCTCTGTGCCCCAGACCCTCTTCCCCGCTCCTGCCCTCCACCACCCAGCCTTGGTCCCACCCAAAGCCCAGCAAGTCCACAAGTGGGTCCCTCTGCCCCCTGCCAAATTGTACCTCCTGCTGGCGTAGGGAGTCACCAGGAGCCCCATGCACACACAGACACCCTGCAGGGACTCCTGACTACCCCCACCTCGGAAGCCCTTGCTTTTGCCCACCTGGTGGTCTTCAGGTGGGGCCGTGGTGGAGGCTGGTGCTCCCCCAACAGCTCCCTGGGCACTCTTTCTGGACCCCCTTACCCACATACAGCCCCCTGTGCATTGGCCTCACCCCATGCTGAGGCCTGAAAGCTGATTCACTCCGCCCTAGCCGTCTCCAGTGCCCAGGAAGGGCAGTGCCCAGCAGGCCTCTCCAGCAGGCAGGGAGAAGAGCCAAGCAGGTGGGCAGCCTTGGGAGGCCACTGAGCCCAACACGGGTCAGGGTGACGAGGGGGGGTTCCTGCTGCCTGGCATGTCTCCTCCAAAGTCAGCCCCACCCTGGAGGGGGCAGACTCAGAGCCCTGTGGGCAGGACAGCAGGCTCTGCAGGCCTGGAGGCCAGTGGGGAGGGGCTGGCTGACCCTGGACGGTGGGGTGCCTTGAGGTGCCTGAAGGTCCAGGAAGGCCTTGGTGTTGGTGGGAGCCCCAGTCCACACAGAGGAGGACAGGTGCTAGCTGGGCTCCCAGGCCTCCTCTGGGACTGTCCCTGGCCAGACCCCGGCTCATTCGTCCTCGGCCCCCACCCTTGTACTACCCAGGATGGTCAGGTGCCCCAGGCCCCTCCGGCTCCCTCACTCCGCCCAGCTCCTCTCTGCGGCTCCTCCTGCTGCGCGGCCGGCGGAGGTCGAGGTCGAGCGGCGCCAGGGCCGGGGTGGTGGTCCTCCCTTCCCACGCTGGGAGGAGCCGTGGGCGGCGCCGGGTCGCCCCGACAACTCCGCGGTTCCCGCTCCGCCTCCGGGCCCCGCGCCCCGTCAGGCGCGGCCAGCCCGGCTCAGAAGCCCGGCCCGGGGCCAAGGTCACCGCCACAGGCCAGGCCCTGTGTTCTGAGCCGGGTGAGGACGCGCTGATGCTGGGGAAGGAAGTCAGGGGCTTTGACGACTGCGGGGTCCCGGCGGAGGGTCCGGAGCAGTCACCCCCACTCCTCGCCCGCGGGGAGCCCCTGCCCCTGGGGAAGGAGGCTGTTTCCTTTATAAACTGGCGGAGGCGCGCCTGGCCCCTCGGCTCTGCCACCCGAAGGGGCGCTCCTGACAGAGACCTCAGAACAGTCACCCCCGGGCGCGCAGACTGGCCCTGAGCCGGGCGCGCCCGCCTGTCGCCCCGAGAGGCGCCGAGCCCAGTGGGAGGACCCGCTGTCCCGACCCCACGCGGCGAGGGCGACACTAGGCCGCTGCCCGGGGCGCCCCGCGTCTCCTCGCCCGGCCCCACAGGCTTCCTGCGCGCGCCGCCAGGGACTTCCTCTCCGCAGAGCCCGGGCCACCAGAGCCCTGCGCGGGGCGCTGCCGGGACACGCGGGCGATCGACCCCAGGCGGGGGCACGCGGGCCACGGGGGAGGGAGGAAGGGAAGGAGTGCGCCGGGCAGGGCCGCGGGGAGGGGCCCGGGGCTGGAGCGGGAGGGGGAGGGGCCCGGGCGGCCCCAGGCCGAAGAGCCGGGGATGGGGTCCCGGGGCTGCCGCCAGGACTGGGGTCCCTCGTGGCCCTCGAGTCCTCCCATGCCAGGGGACGCCCCCGGCCGGCGTGACCGCGAGCCCGGGCGCAGCCCCCTCCCCAGCGCGGGGTCCGCAGCGCGCGTCCGGCCCAGCTCTGCGTGCGGGCGCAGCAATCCCGGGACGCGGCGGCGGGCGGGGTCCCCGGGAGCCAAGCCCGCGGCCGCGCGCCCCCGGCCCGGCTCGGCGGTGGCGGCCGCCCCAGCAGAGCTTTGTGACGTCAGGCGGCCGCGGGGCGGCGTCACGCGCGGGGCTGACCCGGCGGCGGCGGCGGCGGCGGCGGCGGGGCGGGGGCGGCCTGGGACGCGGCGGGGCGGGGGCGGCCTGGGACGCGGCGGGAGCATGGAGCCGCGCGCCGGCTGCCGGCTGCCCGTGCGGGTGGAGCAGGTCGTCAACGGCGCGCTGGTGGTCACCGTGAGCTGCGGCGAGCGCAGCTTCGCCGGGATCCTGCTGGACTGCACGAAAAAGTGAGCGGGGGCGCGGGCCGGGACGCCCCGGGTCCCCCCAGACACCCCGTCGCCGCCCGAGACTCGAGAGCCGGCTGCGGGGAGGGGCGGTGCGGCCCCGGCGCCCGCTTTCGGTTTCTGCCGAGCCGGGTTTCAGGGCGCGCGAGCGCGGCCGCCGCTTGGGGGGGAAAGTGGCTCTCAAAGTCGTCGCGACTTTCCGGGGCGGGAGAACGGGCACCCGCGGGGGGCGCGGGGCGGGGGTCCCGGAACTCCACGCGTCGCTGTAATTAACGCACTTTTCTTTGTTCAGACACACTGTTGAATTCCGCTGTTGGCAGAATTGTGGTTAAAGGGGGAGGGTCAGGCGCGCCGTGGCCTGGCCCCGCAATTACTCACAGGTGGGGGTGCCCTGTCCAAGGCCGCGGGCCCGGGTGCCCTGAGCGACTCCGCGGCCGAGGTCTGGACTGGGGAGAGCAGTTGCGACCAGCTGCGCGACTGAAGAACAGTTTCAGGCCACGGAGCCCTGAGTCACGGGGGAGTGAAGACTCGCAAGTTGTGGGAGCCGCGTGTGCATCCCCCGGGAGCCCGGCTTCCTGGGTGGGGGCGCTGGGCAGGGCAAGTAGCCCCTCCACAGAGGCACCTGTGCGGGGCTGCAGGGACCCAGGCAGTGCAGATGAGCCTCCTGGGCGCGGAGTCACATGACAGGGAACTGTCGCCGCCAGATAAATGATTAGGCATTAATCAGGCTGTGGCCTTGCTGCACTCCTGCACGGCTTTATTTTGAAACTGGGAGCCGGAAAAGGCTCCTCTTTTTAAAGGCGCAACTTTTTCCCTCGGTGGAGCCCAGATTTTCACCCGGTGACACGAATCAGCAGGGAGGACCATGTTCCTGCCACAATTATTTCGAAGACGTTATCTCTTCATTAGATGTGCCAGGAGCCATTTATGCCCTAGTCATGTGATTTAACATATGGCTCCCGTGTGGCTGTGCCCGCTCCGTGTGGGCTACCACTCCAAGTGCTGGGGCAGAATGGAGGGACACTTGGGGGCTGCTGATCGCCACCTGGGAGCTGCCATCCCCCTCCACCGCCGGCCTCAGCTTCCTCCAGCAGGCAGGCTTGGGCTTGGTCCTGGTCCTGAGGGCCGCACCCCTGCTAAACCTGCACCACCGTGTCTGGCCTTTCCTCCCTGGAGAGGGGCACTGGCAGCAGAGGCTCGCCCATTTCCCGGCTAGCTGACTCAGGACAACGGAGGCTGAGAGTATCTGCAGTGGCCGCGGGCGCTCCTCCCTGAGGCCCAGTACTAACCTGGTTTGTGGAAAAAACCAGGTCCAATGGGACCCCTGTCGTGGGAACTGGCAGCTGTAGGATGCATGGGTGTCAACCCTGCCTGCCACGTTCAGCTGTAACTAGAGCCGCCCACGGAGCTGGGAGCCCGGCCTCTGCCGATGCAGCCACTCAGCGCCACCCTTGGTGCCCTGGGCTGGCCCCTTTGTCCTTGTGGGGAATCTGAAGGTAGAGCAGGCTCCTGACCCCGGCCGTGAGGCTTGTCCTGGAAGGACCCCTGCCCCACGCCCCTCCCCGTCATCTCCCCTGTGCCTGATTCTCTCTGGCTGGTTCTCTGCTCCCTGACCCCGGCCGTGAGGCTTGTCCTGGAAGGACCCCTGCCCCACGCCCCTCCCCATCATCTCCCCTGTGCCTGAATCTCTCCTCCGGTTCTCCGTCCTTGTATTCTGGGTCCCAGGGCTCCTGTTTCCAGTCCTGCCTTCCCAGGTGCCAGTTTCTCTTCAGGGCGTGGTGCCTGCCCTTATCCCCCGAGTGTGACAGTGGAGGCCCAGTCCTCAAGTGTGGGTGCTGACTCAGAGAAGAGCTGCAGGGAGCCCTGTGACAGGTGTTCGCCCACCTCAGGGAACCTGTGGGTCCCAGAGCAGCGGGCATTTTGCGGATTCTGTTCAGCGCAGGCGGTGGGCAGCCAGGCACCTGTTCAGAGCAGTCCCTCGGGAATGGCAGCCCGCTCACACAGCCCAGATTTGAGGTTGAGATGGGCCCAGCAGCCGGCATCTGTTGTCGGCCTGTTTGGGAGATGCCATTCTCTCCCTTGTTCACAGAGCAGAGGGGACAGGCCGGTGGAATTGCCTGGCCCCATGCTGGAAGGCCATGTGATTCTCCAGTGTCAGGCTGTGTGTGCATCCGGGTGAGTTCACTGTGCACCTACTGTGTGCCGGGAAGTGGTCTGAGCCCGGAGCAGGCAGCCTCCGGTGATCTTACATCTGGGCCAATGCGGGGATTCCTTCCAGTTTTGATGACCCAAGCCTTGCCCTGACCTGTGTTTTCTGGGTGATTTGGGGGTACACTTCTGGTTGAGGACCCCAGGTGGGGGCCCCGGCTGAGGGGTGGCCTGAGGACAGACGAAGCGCTGAGTGTGGGCTAGTCCTCTGTGCGAGGAGCCCCGGACATGGCCTGTGCCGGCAGAAGGGCTGAGTTCCGTCCTGGCCACACCTGTCTTGGTGGAGGCTGAACTGCCAGGGGCTGCTCTTGGGATTATTCACTCGGCAGCTGGGGGGAGCGCCTGGGCCGGGACCACTGTGCGGGTGCTCCAGTGGTGACGGGATGTGCCCCTGCCCTTGGGGACCGAGAGGGACCTCGGCCTAGTGCTTCCCCGCCCAGGGCACCAGGGGGCCTGGCCAGCATGGCCGGTCTCTGAAGCGTCTCAAGGGGGCAGCAACTGAGCGAGTGGGTGAGGAGGGCATGGGGTGGGGCCTGGCCTTGTGCTACTGGGGGAGCCCCCCAGGGCTTAGAGAGGGACCATGTCCATGGCTCATACACCCAGTCCAGGACACAGGAGGCCGGCCATGGCCACCTGGCCCCACCTGCTCTCCCCTGGAGATCCTGGGGCAGGTGGGTGCCCACAGGGTGGGGCAGGCTCCCGTTGTGGGGCTCTGGAAGAGGGGCCCCCAGTGTTTAGGCTGTGGCTTCTCCTGCCAGCCTGCTTTCCCTAACCCCTGAGAGAGCTGGCCCCGGGAGGCCCCACTGCCCCCAGCAGGCCTGACCCGCCCGCCCTGTTTCCCAAGTGCTGGCCTGGTCCTGCCATGGGTGTCTGCAGGGCTGTGGGGAGACTGCGGGTGCTTTCTGACCCGCACTGCAGCACAGCCGAGGCAGGCCTTGGGTGCTGGCCTCGGGGCTGACCTGGGCTGCACGGGGACTATGTGTTCCTGCTCCAGAGCCGTGTTTTCCTTACCTCTTTAGGCCACAACAGGGTGGCCTTTCCTCACAGAGAGTGAGGAAGGAAGGTCCAGGGGCAACGTGGGCCCGGGAGGGAGGACAGGGGCTGCCCCGTGGGCCCTGGCCATCTCTCTGCCCTGGTCTGTGGAATGGGGGAGCCAGCAAGTACAGGGGACTTGGGCAGGCGGCCAGGGCAATGCTCCTCTCGGCCCGGCCACAGGCAGACCTCAGGCCTGAGCCTTCCTGGGGGTGTGGCTGAGCCTGTCACCCCGGCAAGGCCCCAGGGCGGCCATGGCTGAGTAATGACACAGCCACTTGTGTCTGGCTAAGGATCTCAGACATGCTCTCCAGGGCCTCCGTGTCCTTGCTGGGACACCGCCGTGCCATTAGGAGTGGCACCTGGGTACTTTTTGCCTTGGGGTCTGATCCCTTCTCACCCCTTCCTCAGTTTCCCCAGCCCTTTCTCAAAGCCAAGGTTGTTTATTCTATTCCTGAGCTCCCAAGGATGCCGCGTGAGGCCCACTTCTCAGGGCCCCTGGCACATCCTCCTCACCACAGGTAGGGCACGCCCCCATGGTGTGTTCAATTGGTGGCCCTAAAAGGGCAGCCTGGACCCAGCAGGCTCATCTGGCTCCAGGCCACCCCGTCTTCCCATCCGCCAAGGCTCGGTGTTACCTGTGGGGCACTGCCAGGCCGGGGGGGCCCTGTCCCTCGAGGTGGGTGTGTGGGGAACCACACTGCACCTGTACACTTCCAGAGGCACCACCCTTCAGGTCCCAGGTTCCAGGATAAGCCACTTTCTTCCTGTGCCAGCGCCATCCCCAGGACTGGAGGCAGCAGACCCCAGCCGGCACCCACCGCCCAGCCTGGGGGCACGTTCCCTGGCCTCCAACAGCCTCACCGGCCCTCCTGTGAAACGGAAAGGCTGTGATCTCTCTCTCATGGGGTTGCTCAAGGAGGGTGGGAGCCCAGGTCCCAGCAGCCTGGAGACCCTGCTGTGGGCTTTGCAAGCTCCCCGGGGCTGGGTTTCCCCACCCATGCCAGTCTGGAGAGTGAGCTGTTCCCACCCTGTTTACCTACCAGTATGCCGGGGTGTGGCCTGGTCAGGGCGGCAGCTCCAGGAAGGAAGTACAGCTGCCTGAGGGTCACCGGCCGCCTCTGTGGGGCTGGATCGTCGGGTCCCCGGGCACTGGTGCAGCTGTGACTCAGGGTCCAGAAGGGGATGGCAAAGCTCCAACTGTCCCCTGCCCGTTTGATCTGCCTGGAAAGGGACGAGCCCCTGGCCTGTGCCTGGAGATCCTGGGGTAGCGGGTGGGGCAGGTTCCGTTCCTGTGGCCCTGGAGGAGGGTCCCCTCTGGGACAGGCTCCGTTCCTGCGGCCCTGGAGGAGGGTCCCCTCTGGGACAGGCTCCGTTCCTGCGGCCCTGGAGGAGGGTCCCCTCTGGGACAGGCTCCGTTCCTGCGGCCCTGGAGGAGGGTCCCCTCTGGGACAGGCTCCGTTCCTGCGGCCCTGGAGGAGGGTCCCCTCTGGGACAGGCTATGCTTTCTCCTGCCAACCAGCTTCCCCGACCACTGGGAGAGGTGGCTCAGGGAGGCCCCCTGCCCCAGCAGGCCTGGCAGCAGCCATGTTCTGCACGCTGTCCTTGGGTTCGTGGCGCCTTCAGCCCAGTCCGCAACCCCATGTGGTCAGGGTGCCATGTTCCCCAGCCCTAGTGGGGTTGCCCCCTCCCTCTGGCTCTTGTAGTCACTATCCTCTGGTAGGGACACTTCTGCTCCCTTGGAGGGGGCTTCTCCTTGCCAATATCCCCGCATTTGAGGCCCTTTCATGAGATGCAGTGGGTCCTGGTTCCCCCAATGGCAAGGGGCCATAAGGGCTGGCCCAGAAGCTCAGGTGCCCGCGCCAGCAGGTGTGTGTCCCAGTGTGATATGCGCTGGCGTGAGTCTGCACACACAGTGGTTCTCAGAACGCTCATCCTGTGTTAAATGCCGACAAGGTGCTCTTGGGAGGTGATGAGCCAGCTGCCGATTTGGGTTGCAGAGGCCAGTCCTGGCTATGAGGCCAGGGGACTTGGAGACACCAGCCTAGAATCCCAAGTGGGGGTGGGGCCCGGCTCTGGGCAAAGGCTGTTCTCCCGCAGCTGAGCTCCATCCAGCAAGCCTTGTGCATAAGTGAGCATCGTTGGACTGGGTGGCCCCACTGTGGCCTGGCTCACAGACAGTGTGTAAAGGAGCCTGGGGGCCGTGATGTGTGTGGGTAAAACTTTCCTCACAAATGCTGGAGGGGCCAGATGCGGCCCACTGGGCCTGGGGTGCATGGGGTCTGTGCTCCTTGGTCCTGGCACCGGCACCTGGTGAGGGCGCCGCCTGGGACTGGCCTCAGTGCATTATGGCCCGGGGCCCATGTGCCCGGCTCTCCTTTCCCATGTCTATTTCCATGAAAGTCAGCCCATCAGAGATGGAGACAGCAAAGCACCTGCTTCCCACGGCCGCCACAGGGCCCTGGGAGACGGTGCGCACAGGGGACAGCGCGGCCCGCACTCTGGAGGTGCTCTTGCTGTCGCCAGCCTATGGCTGCTGACACCGCAGTGGTGCCTGGCTGGAGGAGAATGGGATGCGTGGGGCTCACCCTGGCCGCCCCACCACGGAGCAGAAGCCCCGCCCCGTGTTCACCCCCGTCAGGGCCCCAGGCCACCCTTGCACCCTCCCTGGCGAGTCACAATGCCGTCTTGCGTTTCTGTCCCTTTCTCTCTGTCTACATCTTTCTTCCTGTTTTAGCTAAAGCAGTCTTGAAAACTGCATCCCGTTTGTTACGGGTTACACCACGTGCTCACTGGAAACACGTGGACTCTGTGGACTTGCCTTCCGTGGTGTGTGGTAACGTCAGTGTTCTCAGAACTGTTTTCCTGACTCACGGACAGCAGCTTGCTCGACAGGATGGGGCTTGGTGACATTGGCTGCATTTGGGCCTCGGGAAGGATGGGGCAGCCAGGCATCTGTGCAGCGAGGTGGCCTGCACTCTAGGACGTGGTCACCACCAGCTTCTGACGATGAATCTCCCAAAGCCACACACAGTGCTGGGCACTGCTCGTTAAATACAGGCTGCCTGGCCCAGCACGTCCCAGGATGAGAAGGCCTTTAGCTGGGATGGGTGTCCTGGCTGTGGCAGCCTCGGGGTGCTGGCTGCTGTTTGGCCTTAACTGTGGCTCCCCCAGCAGTGAGTGGCTGCCCCTGCCCCTTGTGTTCCTTTCCCTATGGATCCTGTGGCCCAGCAGGGGAGGGCCTGGGGGTGCCAGGCGGGCAAGGAAGGCCTTCTAGGTTGTGTGGGCAAATGCAGTTGAGGACTCTCTCGGGGTCACTGGAAGCATCTGGGCCACCTCCAGAGGGCTCAGCCCCAGGCCACATGTAGGCCCACCCCAGACACACGTCATGCACCTGGAACCCTGGTCCTGCAGGACAGCATTCTCCAGGGACTTGCATGTGGGGCTGAAGGGTTGCCTGATCCTCAGGGGGCCTTCCCTGAGTCCCCCAACCCCTCAAACAGGAGAGGAGGGAACGGATAAGCCTGTGAGCAAGGGGCCTGAGTTTTGTGGGCCAGAAGTCAGCCAGCCCCCTTACCAGGCCAGGTCAGCCTTCCTGAGAGCATTCTTGCTGGGGCCACATTTCCCCTGGGGCCATGGACTGAAATTCAGCCCCTCTGTGCCTCTCTCAGGCCAGGGAGGCAGCTGGCCTCAAGGCCACATGCCGCGTGGCTCTGTAAGGGATGTGCCTTGATCTGACACGTCCAACACTGGACATTCGTAGGGAGCGTGGGCATCGGTTTGCAGTCCTGAATACGGCCCTGGCCTCAGGGCATGGCTCGCTGCGCAGACTTCCTGGAGCAAGGGTCGGGGGTCTTGGCTCCGAGGCTGGGTGCAGGTGGCAGCTGTGCCAGGGCCCTTCTCACTCTGCTTTCTTTCCCTGTTGCCAGGTCCGGCCTCTTTGGCCTGCCCCCGTCGGCTCCACTGTCCCAGGTCGATGATGCCCCCGCCAACAACAGCCGTGGCCAGGCCCCCGAGGAGGGGGAAGCCGAGGTGATGCAGCTGGGGCCCGGCTCCCCGCCTCCTCCCCAAGGGGTCCAGTCCCCCGAGAGAGCCGGCCCTGAGCTACCCCCGCCCCTCGTGCCGCCGCTGCCCGCCGGAAGCCTGCCCCCATACCCGCCGTACTTCGAAGGCGCCCCGTTCCCTCACCCGCTGTGGCTCCGGAACACGTACAAGCAGTGGGTGCCCCAGCCACCGCCCAGGACCATCAAGCGCACCCGGCGGCGCCTGTCCCGCAACCGCGACCCGGGGCGCCTCATCCTGAGCACTATCCGCCTGCGGCCACGTCAGGTGCTATGTGAGAAGTGCAAGAGCACGCTGAGCCCCCCGGAGGCCAGCCCCGGACCCCCGGCTGCACCCAGGACCCGCAGGAGGCTGAGCAGTGGCCCAGACAGAGAGCTCCGCAAGCTGGAGGAGCCGGAGAACAGTGACCCTGTGGCTGCAGCCACTGCCAGGAGGAGCAAGAGGGAGAGGCGGGAGGAGGACAGGGCCCCTGCTGAGCAGGTGCCACGCAGCCCGGTCATTAAGATCTCCTACAGCACACCCCAGGGCAAGGGCGAGGTGGTCAAGATCCCCTCCCGTGTGCACGGCTCTCTGGAGCCCTTCTGCCCCCAGCAGGCCCCAGAGGATGAGGGCAACCAGGACCCTGAGGTGCCAGACAGAGAGCCCCGGGACCGGGTTCCCGGCGCACCCTCGGCCTCCATCCCCAAGCTGAAACTGACGCGGCCTGTACTGCCCAGCACGGACCTGCCGCCCCCGAAGATCCGCCTGAAGCCCCACCGCCTGGGGGACAGTGAGCACGAGCCCGTGTACCGTGCTGAGCTGGTGGAGGAGCTGAATGGGTGCCCACGGGCCAGCTCGCCCATGCCCGGTGCGGACGGCCCTGCCGCTGGGCTGGCGGACTTGTCTTCCGGAAGTTCGGGTGAGGACGATGACCTCAAGAGCTGTCCCCAAGGTCCACAGGGACGCGGTGGCTTGGCTTTTCTTGTCAGCTGCCCGGAGGGGAGAGCAGACTGTGCCAGCGAGTTGGCTTGCAGCAGCGACAGCCTGGACGAGGCCAGATCGTCCGGCTCGGAAGGGACGCCGGCCGACGCGGGCGACCTGTCGCCCAGCCACAGCACGTCGGCACCCTCCTCGTCCAGAGAGGTTCACCCAACGGTGCCGCCCCTGACGGTCCGGCTGCACACACAGAGTGTGTCCGAGTGCATCACAGAGGACGGCAGGACTGTGGCCGTGGGGGACATCGTGTGGGGTAAGATCCACGGTTTCCCTTGGTGGCCGGCGCGTGTTCTCGGCATCAGCCTTGGCCAGAAGGAGGATGGCGAGCCCTCTTGGCGCGAAGCGAAGGTCTCGTGGTTTGGTTCTCCCACGACGTCGTTCTTGTCTATTTCAAAACTCTCCCCTTTCTCTGAATTTTTCAAACTGAGATTTAACCGTAAGAAGAAGGGGATGTACCGGAAAGCTATAACAGAGGCTGCCAATGCCGCGAGACACGTGGCCCCGGAAATCAGGGAGCTCTTAACCCAGTTTGAAACGTAACTGGCTCCCTGACCAGGTGAGTGTGCCAGCCCAGACCCACACGTGTGTCCAGACCCTGAGGCCCAGGGAGCCGCCCGGGGCCCCCCGCCACCTGGAAATGGTTGCCCTCACTGGTAATGTCATCCACACTTCTGATTCACACGAGGCATGTTACAAGGGGCCAGTCACCGCCACTGCCTGTTCAGAGCACAAATCGAGTTTGTGTTTTGCCGCCATTTCTCAAAGCGTGCCAGGGAGGAGGTTCTCATGTGTTGGGGATGTGGTTTGGCTGATCTTGGGGAGGGAGAGCGCAGGCCGGGCCTGGTCTTGGATTACTCAGGGAACAAACCCTCACTGCTCTTCCCAAGATCAGAGAGGACCCTCTCCCTCCTCCTGTTCACGGATCAGCCGTCCAGGAAGTTAAATGAGGGAGGGCCAGGCAAGTTTCCTGTCCTCAGACGAGGCCCCTGCCTCAGCTCCCAGACTGGCCTAGCCCTGCCCCCCTCAACTCCCTGAATCTTCCTCCTGGGCCAATGTGGACTCCATTGTCAGTGGGCTGTGTGTGGCCAGGCGCCCAGGCCCTGGGACATGTGTGGGGGCCTGTTCTGGGGACAGTGTCTCACCCTTGGCCTCTCCCGAGAGCAGAGGTAGAATCTCCAGGCAGGCCTTGTGTGGATTCTCTATGCTGTGTGGAGGTGTGGGAGTGTCACCTCGTGGGGCCGGGGGTACCGCCCATGACCCTGTGTTCACTATGTGGGGCATCTGGGGCCTGCCGAGGGCTGGGTTCTGCCCTGAGCGCCTCAAGGGGCTGGCTGGCGTCTGCAGGCCGCTCTACCAGCACCTCCCGGATGCCCCTCCTACCTCCCCAGCGGGTTCTGGGCTAGCCGTGGGGAGTCCCCTCTGGGTGGGGGCAGCTGGTGGCCCTCTGTGCACCTCTTCCTGGCTCAGTGGCCTAATGGTCCCCTGGGTGCAAAGATTCCAGGGCCAGGGGCTATATGCAGAGGTCAGGGGCAGGGCCTCTGCCTAGGCCTGGGTGACGGCAGGTGACCTTGTCTGCCCTGGCCACCTGCCCAGAGGCCTTGCCGTTTCCCAGGTGACAATCCTCCGGCCTTAGCCTTGGTGGGGGTGGGGAGTGGGGTGGCTGAGTGCCCTCCACTGCTGTGCCCTGCGTATTGGGGTTCCAGGGGGAATGCAGTGATGAGAGGCCACTGTCATCAGGCCGGGGTCCCCAGGCTGCCCGGCTGTTCATGCTCTGGCTGGCCTGGCCTCACCCCTCCCTCCAGGCACCAGCTGCATCTGCCTTGCCCCCCGAGGCCAAGCACAAACATGGCTGCTCCCCCTGCCCCAGGAACCAGGCCCCTTTCTGGTCAGTTCTGGAGCCTTTGGGCAAGGGTGGGACAGGTGCCTTGTTGGGGAGTGGGGGTTGGGGCCACCTCTTGGCTTGAGTCTGGGGAGTGTCTCAAACTGGGGTACCGTCCTCTGAGGGGTCGGAGGAGGGTCAGAGGGCTTGAGTCTGCTGTCCTGGGGGACCCTCCCCGAGTTCTGGACTTGGGCATTTACCAGGCTGTGTGCCCCACCCAGGTCCGCAAGTGAGGCCAGGAGCCTTGGCTGGCAGGGAGCCCGTGGACACAGCCTTGCAGGCTCAGGGCCGGCTGTGTTTATCCGGAAGCAGAGAAAAATCTCACCAGACGAGTTTGCCCGCCTCTGCAGGGGGCAGTGCCTGCCCTAAGGCTGCTGCTCCCTGGGCCTGTGCCAGGACCAGCCCCCTGCTCTGGGAGTAGGGGTGCCAGATCCTTTCAGCGCCAAAGTGCAGAGTGGCATGTGCCTGGTTGGCTTTCTGGTTTTGTCTCCTAAGGGTTAAAGACCAGTTGCTCAGCATGATCAGAGCTGGCATCTCGAGGGGCGTGGTATAGATATCCCACCCTGTGTGGCGTTGGTGGTCTCTGGGCGACATGTTTGCTTTGAAGCGTCAGCAGTGCACTCTGGTCTGCTCTTTGTAGGGGTAATGCAGGGGACCTGCCTTTCCTGGGAAAGGGGACCCGCCAACACCGTCCTGAAGGTGCACTTCTCTGAGCAGAAGCTGAAAGAAGTGGGGGGCGGGGGTGGCCGTGCCTGAGGGAGGAGCAGGAGGAGGAGGCAGGAGTGGGGGCTGGAGCTCAGGCAGGGAGGCCTGCCAGGGAAGGTTGTCCTCTCTGTCCCCACCCACCGGCCACCCTGACCTGGCCCCAGCAGCTTCCTGAGGTTTGTGGGTGTCTGTGCCGCCCAGCACCTGTCAGGGGGTGGTCGCTGCAGCACAGCCCAATCTGCTCCTTGCAGGGATGATGAACCCAGCGTCTCCCCCCGAGATCCCTCTCTCTCTGCTTGCTGGGGGTGCTGGAGGCTCAGCTGAGGGGTAGGGGGACGCCCCACAGACCACAGGGTGCCAGGCACTGGACCCGTGGCCAATGGTGCTGAGAGTTGGCCTGGCTGGCCCAAGGGATGAGCACATCAGCCTGAGCAGGGGCCTCCCCAGGACCCGTGCCCAGCTATGTGGCGCACTTGAGCACCCCTGCTTGTGAGGTCCTGACCCAGGCGTGCCAGGGCTGGGCCGGCCTCCCTTGCGGGAATAGAGGCTGTTGGGCCTTGTCACATCTGGTCACCTGCTGTTGCGGCCTCAGCAAGCCAATACCTCTGAGCCTGTTTCTTCACCTCTCTCGGGGTAACAGCAGGTCCTGCCTCTGAGTGAGCGGCACGTGTGCCCTGGGTGGTTGTGGCCGGCTCCGAGGGCCTGTGAGTGACCTGTGGCCACTGTGCCCTCAGGCTGGCAGGAGAGGCTGTTCCCTGTGGATTCTTTTGCACCCATAGGGACCCCCAGGTCCAGGGTGGGGGCAGGCGGTGGGGACCCGGCTGTAGGGTTGCTGTGCCTGGGAGCAGCCTCCTGCTTCAGGTTCAGGCACCGGGCGGGCAGGCTCAGGGGCCCAGCAGGAGCTGCCTGGCCAGGCTTGTCCTGTAGCAGGGAATGGGGCCCTGGAGAAGGCAACGCCTGCCCACACCCCCACCTCGGGGGCCACTGAGCCTGACAGGACAAAGCAGCTCTCCTGTGTGAGCCCCGGGACCTCAGACTGGGGTCCTGCCCCCATCCAGGCTCAAGGTTCTCTCTCTGCTTTCCTGGTTTCTCCCTCACTACCCACCCACCCCTCTGCTGAGGGCCAAGCACTCCTCTGGACCCAGGCTAGAAGGGGGACCTAATGGGGAGGGCTGTGAATCACCAGTTCCCAAATTAGTGCATAATCACACACACAGGAACTGCTGAGAAGGAAGGGAAGAGGGCCTTGAAGCAGAGCGTCCAGCGAGAAACCTGGCCTGGACTGGGATCTAGGAAGGCATCCTGGAGGAGGTGGCAGGAGCCAGGATCTTGATGGTGAGCTAATCAGGAGCTGATGGGGTGAGGGTGGGGTGAGCATTCTAGGCAGGAGGAGGGCAGGGCGTGTTCCAGGGGTTGTGGAGGTGGGCAGAGGCGGACTAAGGGCCTGAGAGGCCAAGGCACGGACTCAGTGCTGCTAGAGAATTACAGAGGAGTGAGGTGGTCTTGTTATTATTTGTCAATGAAACTCTAAAAAACATCTGATGGCTTTAAAAATAAAAGAAATGAATGACCCCCAGCTGTGAGTACAGGGAGAATGATGGGGATGGGGGAGGCTGGGTGGGTGTCCAGGCATGGCTCCATACTCAGGGGTGGCTTTAGTTCTTGGGAGGTGCCTGAGGCCTGCCTGGAGGCGTCTCAGGGGGTCAGGCAAGGGGCTGGGGACAGGGCCCTATATTCTGGGGGAACCTGGGCCTGGACAATGCCGTGGGACAGAGAGCAGGAAGTGGGGCCTCACAGAATGGACACTCAGGGCAGAGGCTTCAGAGCAGCAGAGGCAGGTGGAGATGACAGGTGAGCAGACACGTGTGCTGTGTGGGAGCAGGAAGGAGGGTGACCAAGAGTGGGTGGCACCAGCCAGCCCTGTGGGGAGGACCTGAGGGGCTAGAGCCCTCCCTGCACCCCAGCACCACAGCAGTGGGGGGTGCGTGCCCATAGAGGTGGGGGCTGCCTGGTGTCCTGGGAGCTGTGAGGGACAATGGGGAGCCCCTGGTCCTGGGAGTCGTGAGGGCCAACAAGGGCACCCCGTCCTGGGAGCTCTGAGGCCAACGGGGGCTTCTGGTCCTGCACAGGCACCTCCTGTGCTGCCCTGGTGTGGCTGCGGCTCTGTGCTCTGCTGATGTGAGGCCTGGAGGCTGACACCTCCCTGAAGTGGGGACTCGGTGATCTCCTGGTGTCCCGGCCTCTTGGGCAAGGCTCCCAGACAGTGCAGGCTGGAGGGGTCCAGTGTCCTGCGGCCCCAGAGGCCCATCCCTTTCCCCTCCTGCTCTGGCAGGGGACTTTCAGGGCCATACCCTGCACAGCCTCCGTCAGCAGCTGGGAGCGCAGGGTTCCTGCGTCACTGAACGGTCAGTGTCCCTTGTCTTTCATGTTTCCTGTAGCTCCTGTGACCTCCACACACTGGGGCCCTGAGACCACACGCGCTTATTCCCATGCCTTGGGGTCAGGAGCTTTCGTGGAGGCCTGTGGGGCCGTGCGCCTTCAGCTCCAGCCAGGATCTTGCCTCTGCAGCTCTTGGGGGTCCAGGCAGCCCCTTCTCATGGCCATATCGCCCCATGCTCTCTGCACAAGGCCTCTGCCTCTTGGAAGTGCCCGGGTGGCATCTGGGGACCGGTAGGGGCTGCTCATCTCCAAACCCTCGTTGAAGCACATTGCAAACATGATGCCGCAGAAGGTGGCATTCCCAGGCTCTCATTCACTCCATGTCCCAGTGCTTTGTGGACAGCTTGGGCACAGCCCAGGGTCCACCCCAGCCTCACACCCGACAAGGGAAGGCCCCAGGCAGTGGTGGTGGAGATGGGCCTCGGCCCCAGGCTCTGCGGGGCGAGGGAGGGGCCCATCGCTCCGGAAGGGTCCGAGGTTCGCAGGCTGTGGGAGCAGCGTGGGCCGCTTCTGACCTGAAGCTTCACCCTGGGAAATAAGGATAATAATCAGGACACTGCCTGGCACCCAGAGTGCTGAGTCGGCAGGGCCGCGCCGGGACGTGGACGCGTGTGCTTGCTGCAGTGTCCCAGACGAAAGGGCCTCGGCTTCTCTGATTTTCCTTTTCCCTTTAGAACAGCACCCTTGAGCTTCCTGCCCAAAACTGGCTTTTCTCTTCCTCCAACTCTAAATTAAAACGCTTTCTGCTTCCGAGGATGAGTTTCTCAGCTGACTTCCCTGCGTTGCTTTCAGGAAATTCAGGTCCCGAGTGAAGGTTGTAATTATTTTGTTCCAGAAGGAAACGGAGGCTTGTAATTCCGAGCCTGCTGCGGGGGGCTCAGGCTCCGCCCCCTCCCCTGGCTCCTGGCAGGGGTGCCTGCCACCTCCTCCCGGCCAGTGGCTTGGGCATCCAAGCCATGTTGGGGGGCAGGTGGGCAGGTGCCGGGTGTTTGGAGTTGCTCCTTGGGGTCAGGGGCCTGGGACATGGGGGGCTTTCTCAGTGTGGGGGGACGCTGCTGGAAGCCCCTGCCCATTTGTGCCTTCAGAGCCAAGCGCCGCACCCACCTCTGGTGAGGTGCCCTAATGCCACTCGAACCTGCTGCCGGGGTCTTAATTGCTTCCTGGGTCTCACTTCCAGCTCCAAATCCTTGCCCCGACCCCACCAGGCTTTCACACCCTGGTCAGAGGATCGGGACTGGAGGCTCCCTCTCTCGGCAGGACCCTCCGGGGCGGTGGAGGCTGCTGTCTCCCGGAGGCCCTGGGGTTGGTTTTGGGCTTGGGATTGTCAGCCTAATCCCTTCTCATCCGTTCCCTGCCAAGTTCACCCAGGAGTTCCGTGCACCATTGGTGCTAGCTTTGATTCGCTCTGTCATGAGGACTTTCGTGGTGCTGGCCCTGGTCTTCATTCACTCGCTGGATTCTTACAAAAAACGCCTCTTTCCTTACCAGCTTTCAGTGGCAAGGTGTCTGGCCACGCTCCACTTGCAGAGGGGTCCTTACGGAGCCCGGGGCAGATGGAGCCCCTCCCAGTGTGCCCGAGGGGTTTGTCCTGAGCGTGTGTGTCTCATAAAAGCACACACGTTTGCCAACATAGGTTCAGTCCACCCAAGTGCTGCTCTTTCCATGCTCAGACCGTGCCATCTTGAGTCAGCAACGGAGGCCAGCGCCCGTGACCTGTGGTGACCGCAGCAGCCTGCTTGTGGCGTTGCCCCTGCCATGCCTCGTCATCCGGGCTCCCTCTGTACGTTTTCTGGCTCAGGCCCGGAGCAGCCGCGTCCCAGGGAGCCCCGTTCCCTGCTGCCTGCTCCTGGGACGCTGCTGTTTCTAAGCCTTTTTCTAAGCGACACGGGTAGGATTCGCTTTTGTGTCTGATGCCAGAAATCTTTTTTTTTTTTTGAGACGGAGTTTCGCTCTCGTTACCCAGGCTGGAGTGCAATGGCGCGATCTCAGCTCACCGCAACCTCCGCCTCCTGGGTTCAGGCAGTTCTCCTGCCTCAGCCTCCTGAGTAGCTGGGATTACAGGCACGGGCCACCATGCCCAGCTAATTTTTGTATTTTTAGTAGAGACGGGGTTTCACCATGTTGACCAGGATGGTCTCGATCTCTTGACCACGTGATCCACCCGCCTCGGCCTCCCAAAGTGCTGGGATTACAGGCTTGAGCCACCGCGCTCGGCCAGAAATCTTAACTCTTAATGTTAACATGAGCAATTTTATCGATGTGAAGGTTAATATATGTAAGTATCAAATGTAATATAGGTACGGAAGATATTCAACATAGCATAACGTCACGTTACCGAGAATAAGGTGTATATAACACTCTTGTGTTAGGATACAGCGTGGTAGTTCCAGAAGAACCGCACCCTGACGCCGTCGGCCGGGGGTGCCCTGAGGGAAGGTCTGAGATTGCCCTGCCCGTCTTTTTGTCCCAGGGTCTGGTCCTTTGGGGTGTGTGTCCCGTTCCTGTCTCTGCGGCAAAGTCATGACCTCTAAACACACTCAGCCACCCTTGTTTTATTCACTCTCCATTTTTACAGACGCCTCGTTTTTCAAACCCATTGCAGGAGGCTTCTGTGGGCACCTCCCCAGCCCCAGGTCCACTCCCGTCCTGGCCCCCGGGCCTTCCCGTCGTGGCTCACTTCCCGCAGGAGCAGCGCCCCTGGCCGGCTTGGGATGTGAGGAGCCGTGGGACTCACCCAGCTCCCTCGGGGGACACACCCAGCTCCCTTGGGGGACACCCAGCTCCCCCGGGGACACACCCAGCACCCTCGGGGGACACACCCAGCTCCCCCAGGGGACACACCCAGCTCCCCCGGGGACACACCCAGCACCGTCAGGGGACACCCAGCTCCCTCGGGGGACACACCCAGCTCCCTCGGGGGACACCCAGCTCCCTCAGAGGACACCCAGCTCCCTCGGGGGACACACCCAGCTCCCCCAGGGGACACACCCAGCTCCCCCAGGGACACACCCAGCTCCCTCAGGGGACACCCAGCTCCCTCAGGGGACACCCAGCTCCCTTGGGGGACACCCAGCTCCCTCGGGGGACACACCCAGCTCCCCCGGGGACACACCCAGCACCCTCAGGGGACACCCAGCTCCCTCGGGGGACACACCCAGCTCCCTCAGGGGACACCCAGCTCCCTCGGGGGACACACCCAGCTCCCTCAGGGGACACACCCAGCTCCCCCGGGGACACACCCAGCACCCTCGGGGGACACACCCAGCTCCCCTGGGGGACTCTGGCTGTTCCAATCTTTTCTCCAGGCTGTGGGGAGAGTGTGAGGGACCAGCTTTCTCACGTGGAGGAGGCTTGGCCCAGGCTGGGAGGTGCTGGTGTCCTTTGGGCCTCAGAGACAGCCGGGTGGGAGACAGATGGGTGAGGGAGAGACTACGCCCCCACATCCAGGTGGGGGTTCAGAGGGCTCCCGGGCAGGCGGGGCCCCAATGCCTCCAGGTTCCTGAGACCGCCTGGTGTCCTGGAGGCCTCAGCGAGGCGGGGGAGCAGCGGAGCTCAGCTCTGCGAGCAAGGGCCATGCCGGGAAGGTAGGACAGACATGAGCAGCGGCCACGGCTATTCGGCCTTTGAGCCTGTTCCTCTGCTGCTGGGAGACAGAAGGCCCCTGTGAAGGCTGCTGCTGTCAGGACGAAGGGCCCATCCAGGCTGTTTCCTCCCAAGGCCGTTCTGCATTTTTCTAATGAGGACAGTGGCTGATGGATGTTTACCGACATTTCCAAAGGTCACGCTGCTGTTGACGGAGAGGGGCCGGGCCACGTTAACCATCTCCTGGAGCCTGTGTTTCTTGGCAGGAGGTGTGGTCGCCTTTCATTTGAGCCTCTTTCAAATCAGAAAGTGCT